CGCAGAGCCCAACTGGCCCCTTCTATGCCATCCTTCTCTCCCATCCTTTTCTTCCATTTTAATGACGTAGATGCCCTGGAGATGGATCTGCAGGAAAAACGGTGGGCTTTGGGGAGAGATGGGCTGGAATTGGGCCCTCTAGTGACCATGTGGGCCTCTTGGATCAGGAAATGAATTTTGAAAGGTGCATAGTAGGCACTCAGTCCTCCTTGCTAATTAGTCCACTAAGATGTTTTCCTTTTCTTGCTTTTAGGAACAATGGAGTCCAAAGATCAAGACGTGAAAAATCTCGACATGGAAAATGACCATCAGGAAAAGGAGGAAAAGGAAGAAAAGCCGCAAGATGCTAACAAAAGGGAGCTGCCGGTGACCCTGCCTTTTGAAGCAGGGCGCTTCCGTGTGCCTAAGGGAAGTCGCAGGCGGCTCCGCGTTAGGCAGCCCATCGTGCACTATAGATGGGACCTGATGTATAGGGTTGCAGAGCCCCAGGCAAGGATGAGAGATGAGAACATGGAGAGGCTTGGGGAGGATGTGAGACACCTCATGGAGAAGCTGAGGGAGAGGCAGCAGAGCCATACTCTGCGGGCAGTTAGCACTGACCCCCCTCACCATGACCACCATGATGAGTTTTGCCTTATGCCCTGAACGCTCAAGTTTTATCTTAATATGGGGACCCCTGCTTTCAAGACTTACATGTTTGTGATGTACTGTTGTAAAATTTTGAGGTTAATTCTTTTATGTGGATCTCTTCCTGTTGCCAGCTTCTAATTAGAATTTGTGCTTTGACTCAGTCTGTAATTCTTGTTAGCAGAGTTTATCAGTTGCATGGAAAGATGCCCATTATATATTGTGAAGCGAATAAAGCAGATTGAAAAGGCATTCTCTGTACATTTACTTATTTTTTCTTTATATGAGTGCGAACAGTCACAAAAAAATGGAGTAAGTAATGTTAATCAGTGAAAGAACTGAAAACAATTTTCATTATATTTCTTTATTTTTCAAAATTGAACACATATTATTTAATGAGAAATTTGGTGGCTTGAGATTGATTAGCTCTTAAGAGCACTGGCTATTCTTCCAGAGGACCCAACTCTAATTCCCAGCACTCACAGGGAAGCTCACAACCATATGTAACTCCAGTTCCAGGGAATCTGATGACTTCTGGGCACCAGGGACACATGTGGCGATGACATACATACAGCCAAAACACTCATACATAAAATAAATCTTTAAAAAATTAAAAATTGGGGTGGGAGAGAGAACTGTGGTTAGAATGTAAAATGAAGTCAAAAATTAAAAAAGGAAAAAATTAAAAATATTAGGTTTTTAATAACCTTAGAAAAATGTGAGAATTTTCTAGAGTTGTGATATAACCTCAGATTTAGTTTACCATCTGGCATCTGTTACTGGGAAATTTATAAGTCTGTTTAGTATCTTCCTTGTGCTTATCAGTAAAGTGAAAATAATCACCTCAGGGCTGTTGTATGAACTAGATGAGGTGATAAGTTTCCAAGCTTTTTCAGAGTTTTCATTCTCTTGGCATGTGCATAACTAAACCCTGGAATGTTTGTAAGATGGGGTCTCTATTCAAAGGTCCTGTGAGACAAAGGATGGGAGCATACTTCTTTACTGTGCCCTATTACCATACTTTCCCTTAGCATTTATGTACTATGTTCCTATACCAGATCCCTACAGATACTCACAAATTCCCCAAAGTGAGAGATTCGCACTGATTTCTCTGGAATACCCATGGTACTGGATCCTGCTCTACATGCATAGCTATATTCCTTTCTGTTTATCTTTTTGATAAAGATCATTTTTCTGGGGGCAATTATCTTTTTAGTTGAGCAGCTTACAAAAGATGTATGAGGCAACAGCTCACTGAATCTGAGACAGCTGCTCACAATAGCTCACATTAACCTTAGGAATGTACAGAATTTTTGTTTTATGCTAAGTTGAATATCAGAAGATCATGTCAGTGTATCAGAGTTTTAATTACATGGAAAAAGTACATTTTATTTATGAAAATTAGCCAGGCGTTGGTGGCTCACACCTTTAATCCCAGTACTCGGGAGGCAGAGGCAGGCGGATCCTGTGAGTTCGAGGCCAAGCCTGGTCTCCAGAGCGAGTGCCATGATAGGCACCAAAGCTATACAGAGAAACCCTGTCTCGAAAAACCAAAAAAAAGAAAAAAAGAAAAAAAGAAAATTGATTTTATTTTGTGGTGCTGAGTGGTAAATCCACAGTCTTGCACATACCAGGCATGCCAGTGTTTTGCAAAAATAAACTTAAAATGTAGGATTCTGGAACAGGTTAGTACATAACTCATAACCAAATCTGGCACACTGTTTATTTGGGAAACTGTAAGGATGGTTGAAAAAAATACTTTGTAACACAAAAAATATAGAATTTTAATTTGGTGCTTATAAAATTTTATTGAAGCACCAAATGCTAGTTCATTCATACATTGTTTATGGCTGTTTTTCTATTACAGTGGCAATATTGGGTAGTTATAAAATAGTGAAGCTCATGAAAGACTGTTACCGGGTCATGATATACAATTGTTGTCACAGTCTACCTTAGACTATAACATAATAGTTGTACTTGGGGAAATGAGGGGAAGTTAACAAGTAAAACTATCCATCATGAAAAGTAACAACTGCCAGTATAAACTGTATGCTTAATTCCAAAGTTCCCTAGCCTGTCATAGGCACTTGAAATATAAGGCAAATTCGTGAAGACAGCAATTAATACAAAGTATCTATCTGTTTGGATGCATTTTCCTAACTGTCATTTCTGTACTTAATATAATGAGGTTCTTTTTCTACATTCTTTACAAAAAAAAAGTTAGGCAATAAAATTCTGGCAAGGTACATGCAGTAAGATTAGGGGTGTTCACAGAGAAAAAGAATGTTCAAAAAAGACTTGACCCTGCTCCAGTAACATATCAAATCATTTTGTCATATAATATATTTTAACTGAATCACTCCTTAATTTCTGAGATGTGTTTCTATAATGCAGCCAAAAGCTTTTAATTTGGTATAGTTTGAAAATATTTTGGATGTTTTGGCTTTTAAGACAGGGTCACACTCTGCAGTGCAGCTTAGCCTAGAAACCACTAATGTAGCCCAGACTTGAGAGGAACTCACAATGATCCTCCTATTTCAGCTGTCTGAGTTCTAGGATTACAGGCATGAGCAGCCATATTTGTCTGAAAGCATTTTTAATGGCAAAAGGAGGCTTTATGTATGTATGAGTGAATTGGATCATTGAGGCTTAGCCTATCATAGGTATCCAGTAAATGCTAATGAAATATATGAAAAAATAGCAATTTAGTGGTACTCAAAATTATCAGTATACAGTTTAGATGCTTGCATATTTCTAAAAATCTAACAGAACCAAAGTAATACAATCACTCATTATATATATTTTTCTTTCTAACATAATTTTTATTGATTCTTTGAGAATTTCACATTATGCACTCCAATCCCACTCACTTCCCAGCCCATCCATTTCTTCCCCTCACTACTTCAGTGTCCTTCCAAAAGAACCCCCCCCCAAAATACCAATTCAAAACAAAACAAACAAAAATACCTCGATCCTCCATCTTCCCACACCTCTTCATTCATCCAAGTGACATTGGTAGCTGTGATGTGTCACACAGTATACCCATTTGTCCAATCAGCTCCCTTCATAAATGTTCGTTACAATGAGTCTTTGGCCTGGTTCAAACCATTATCACTGGACCCTCACCAAAACTCCTCTTGGATATCCTGTTGTTGCCCTGACTTATGGAGATCCCGTGGTTATCCTTTGGTAGAGCCAGTCCCTTCACAAACTCCTGCAGGGATGAGGTAGATGTTAGGGTGGGCCAACCCAAGGCCCAGGAGGTGAGTTTTGGTGGTCCCTGAGCTGGTGGGTGGGAGCCACTGGGACCACCCCCATCAGAATCAGCTCTCCTAGGCCCAAGTCATCAGGGCTAGCTCTACCACACCCATGGTGAGGGGTGGGGCAGCTCTCCCACGGGAATCAGGACCAGCTCTCTTTCTGCAGTGACCAGTGAGGTGCAGGACCAGCTATCTCAGGGTCAGAGAGGGGCAGGTCTGGCACAGCACAGAACTTGGATTTCAATGTGCATGGTCCCTGCGATTCCCTCTGGCAACATCAACAATGGACATCATCACAGACCCCAGCTGCAGCAGGACCGTGGGCCCAGGGCATAGTCCTCCGTAGCAGTTTGGGCCTGGATGTTGTCAAGGCCCCAGTGGCAGCACAGGCCACACAAATTAATATGGCAAAGATGACAGAATGGCCTTTGGATATCAACATGGTCACAGGTAGCAGGTCAGCCCACTGGTGTTTGCATGGCCATCATAGGTATGAGAAGCCATGGACTCAGATATGACCCTTGGCAGCAGCCCTGGCCTGGACAACACCCTGGGCCCAGGTGGCAACACTGGCCATACAGATCAGCATGGACCCTGGCAGCAGCACGGCCCTTGGATGGTAACATGACCACAGGATGCAGCCCAGACCCTGGTAGGACCATGGACATGAACATAGTCCTTAGCAGCCGCCTGAGCTCTGATGTCACTGTGGGCCCAGATGGCAGCATAGGCCACTCAGATTGGCATGGCTCCAGTGGCAGTATGGCCTTCAGACACCAACATGACTCTGGATGGCAGTCAAGACCCCTGGCATCAACATGGCCTTTGATGGCGTCAGAAGTCACAGACATTGACACAGACCCTTACTGCTGTAGGGTTACAGACCCAGACATGGCCTCCAACTACAATCAGGGTTCAAATGCCACCATGGCACTTTGTGGCAGCACAAGTCACTCAGATCTGTATGACCCTGGCTTCACCATGACCCTCTCACATCCCCATCTGGCCTCAGGTGATGGCCAGGCCCCAGGTATTTTCACAGTCTTCAGTGGCAGCAAAAGCCACAAATATCAACCCAGACCCTGGCTGCAGTAGGGTTATGGACCCAGACATAGCCTCATCAGATGTCATCATGGCCCCAGGTGGTAGCACAGGCCATCCAGATTAGCATTGCCCTGGCAGCAGTGTAGACCTCGGGCACCAACATAGAGGGGGGGGGGTCAGCCCACCCCCCCCCCCCCCCACCCCACCCATTACAGCAGAAAGTAAACACATAAAAATATACTCTGGGGGCAAGAGAAATAAAGCTTTCATCATTAACTATCTTTTAAACATTAAGATGGAAATGAAGTAACACCAATGAAAATGGAGTAACACAAACTAACTAGCATCCCTAACTGAAATTTAAAGCCTGAACAAAATTCATGAAATGGTAAGTTCTGGTCACTGAACATTAGGCACAGTAAATTGTAGAACAGAATACCAGAGAGGAATTAAGTCATTACATCATTTTAAGTGGTAAATTTAGACATATTATAGTGTTTCAAGGCACATGAAGCCAAAATTCTTAGTTCAATGAAAAAGAAGCAAATCACCAACAAAAGTCAGAAATTAAACATTGCCTCTAAAATATTAACAGAATAAGTAAACAGAAGACTTCAAGAATGTGAACCACTTAAATCTATTTGGTGATTGTGGAACTTGCCACCACCAACAGTAGAAATACCTGATTTATATGTTCATGGCATACTTACCAATGTAGTCCATATTTACAGTCATACAATAAGTCTTAATAATTTTAATAGGATTCAAATGATACTTGATACTGTGTTCTCAGAGCACAATGAAATTAAATGAGAAATCACAATAAATCCCTGGAAAATGCTAAAATCTTAAAGTAGGAACAATTAACATATGTCTAAGTAACTCATGGCCCAAAGTTTAAAAAAAAGAAATTAGGCCATTTAAAACGTTCATGGATAGACA